TCCGTCGGTGTGGCGAGGACCCTGTTCCTGGTGTTGACCCGGACATCGGTCCCCGAGTGGCGGCACTGCGCGCAGGTGCATTGCGACTCCTGCCCACTCTTCGGTAGAATCGCATGCGCCCTGCAGATTACAAGCAACCTTTTATGTCGGTGGTGCCGTCCCTTCCTCACACTGAAGAGGCAGGACCACCCCGACCTCCTCCGGAACCCCCACCTGTCGTGTCGACCGCGTCTTCTCGTCGAACGAAGAGCAGCAGCTTGTCGCCGTTCTGCCAAATCTGTGGCAGAGTCTTCTCGCCCGTGCAGAATATGAAGGCACACGCCCGACGCACTAACCCTGGCACTCCAATCGTTGAAGGCCTCACATGTGGATTCTGCGACAGCTCCACGGTCTCCCCAACAGGCGCCTCACGCGCAGGTCACTACCGAAAATGTCAAGCGCATCAACGAGCAAAACACAGACACCGCAACTCCGCAGGCTCCAATGACAGCCGTAGCCCTTCAGCCACTCCTCTGCCGCAATCACCACCAGCCGCTGAGCCCCCGACAATCCACGGAAGGCCCTGCCGCACACGCTGTGGAAATGCCCTCGTCCTCGACAACTGAGCATCCGACTATTTGGGAGCACACCCTCTCGCACGACAGCGCCATTCAAGGCGGGAAAAACGGCCACTTTTCCACACACAGCCCGCAGGCCATTAACGAACAGCGGCCGCGAAGCATAACAAAACAAAAAAAGCGGCAGACTTTGGGGTTCTCCAGCCACAAGACCCCGCCGACCCCCTCGTCAATTCCTGAAGTGCAAAAAAACACGACCGCGTGATATGCCGTCTGCGGGGTTTTCCGAAGACTGTGCGTACGCAAAAGTCGCCCGCACTCCGCGAGAGTCAACAAACATATCCGTTGCAGCTCCCACGTCATGGCGTGTGTTTCTGAGCTGCATTTATTCGACGCTCCTTGCAGCGAAGTATTTTCCACCCAAACGTCCATGGTGAATGGCAAGATGGCGGAAAAGGCCGATAAGGCCAAGCGTACCGCACGCACCTCGGCCTGCATGATAAGAAAAGACTTCCTCTCCCGCTCCCTTCCGGCAATTTTTACGTCGCCGGAATCTGGAATGAAAAAAGCTCCACTTCCATGAAGCGATGCATCCACGATGTTGGCGGCCGATGCCTTTTCGGTGGGCTTGAGGTTCCGCTTACGGTTATATTCTCGATGATGTGTCGTAATCTCTCGCGCAAACCAACCGCTGCCGGCCGAAGGTTCGCCGGGGATGTCTCCAGCACAATCCCCCGGTTAAGTGCGGATAATCGTCGTCGCACTGCCCTGATGAAAAAGTAGTAGTCAAATAAACGCGTGCCAAAAATGGCCGCCGCATACAAAAAGCATGACGCCACAACCTCCATTCCCGCGATGGTTAAAGAATTGAGCGCCGGCACGACGCATGCAGACCGGACAAATTTGTCACTCAGAGATACCGCCCGGTGAGTGTGATCAAACTTCACCCCAGGAAGATGTACTGCGTGGCGCCAGGTTCGCGTTCCTCCCACAATGTCGCACCGCTTTTCGACCCTGCAATGCGTATATTATCGATCCAAACGCCGACACGCACCAATGGAGGTGCAGCCCAGAGGGGGTGAACCACCGTCGTCACCCCGCAATTGCCGAAGTAATAATAATCTGGAGAATTTCTGGGCTGGTCTTGTGTCCCATTGGGAGCCGTGTCAGCTCCACCAGCGTGCCGTCCTCCACGCGGCATCGAAAGAGATGCCGAGTCTCCCGCGGTAAAAGGACTTGAAAAAAGGACGCCTTCACATCCAGGCAGGAAGCGGCCTCAGCCATCACAGGTGGCAAATAATGGAAACTGTGCAAAAGAGGAGCATTAGCCCCTCAAGAGTCGTCTATTTTCTTGCCGCGTGGCCACGCAATCCATCGTCGTCTCAAACCGGCGGTTCTCTCCTCCACAAACAAGAAGGCGCTATCCATCCGCTTTTTGTTGCAGACGAAGCGTCCCCGATTATTCCTGCTTCATTCAATAATCGCGCGTCATAGACTGGAGTCCTCCGTGAGCTTCCACCCGATGCAAAGGAGGACGGAGGAAAATGGGACCGCCCGACGCGTCCTTGTCGCGCGTCTTGTAATGGTAGCAGCATGATTGTGATGAAAATCAGAGGAAAAAAGCTCCTCTGCTTTCAACCAGGGCTCCTGCCCTTCCGCAGCTTCTCCCTTCAAATCAATGCGATCAGTCAAAACACCTGGGTCAGCAGTGTGGTTTATTTCCCGGAATATCGAACTGTGTTCTTGGAAAGGTAGAACGAGTCGAAGTGCTTCGTCAACTGCGAGACCACGTGTGGGTCCAAATTGTATGTCTCCATGATTGGAGCAGCGTGCCGCAACGCACCGCGTTTTATGGAATGCGCCGTGGCACCCCAAAGAGCCAGAGCTCGCTCCACGTGGGCATTCGTCAGATTCGTGAGCTCTTCGTTGCGTCGAAGTGTCCCGCATAACGTTATAGTGTCTAACGCATCCTGCCCTCGTGCCCTGACGAACCGCAAGAAGCAGTGGGGATCCGCCCTCGCCGTCTCGGCGCCACGACCCAATCCAAAAACTAAGGTCCCGTCCGGCTCCAGTTTAAAATTGTTGGGAGTGAAGACCGCAATCTCAAACCAACGACTCGCCGTTATCCACGCAAGTCGAAAAACAACACGTTCCCTCCAATCGGTCCGGCTGCGGATAACTTGATTCATCTCTTCCTCTCTCACAGGGCACGCCTGCTTCGTCTCCGATGGCGCCGCAACCTTTTTAAACCTCAAAACCGCCATGCCCAGCGGGGTTCCATTCATTTGCAACATGGACCGCAGCTTCCTGGCGTGCTGCGGTCAGGTCGATGGCGCCACGTCTCACAGTGCCATCAAAAAGGCCGCACGGCTCTCCGCGTTGATCGGCTGTTCGTGCGTGCGACAAAAAGGTCGTAATTTGCCCGGCTAGAGACATTCTCTGCTCCCACGTTGACGGCGTCCACATTTCTCGGGCCACCTCGTTCGCCCTCCTCACGCAGCCGGCCCAAAGCGAAGACGTCGGTGATTCGTCGTACCACAGTCGAGCGTCGTTGGCGGATAAGCTCCACTGCCCTTTTCGACGATTGCGTCGGGCAATTCGAAACATCGGGCGGGACATCGGCGGCGCGGTGCGACGCCTGTGGGAATTGGTGGGAGGTGGTGGAATGAATGGGGCTGCCGTCTTCCGCTCCCATAAGCGGCGGGCAGCCCCTCTGCCGTTTTTGAAGGCCGTCTGCGCTGCGAGTAATTCCTTCTGGCCGTGCTGCGTACGTTGCACGTGGATGCGTCGCGTCCACAAATACGACACAATCGGCATCGCAACGATCGTTGCTGTTGCGTACGTAGACGGGCGCGCAGTTCGGAAATCGGGACGCTGGGCTCAGTAGTCGTCGTGATATGCAACTGGAAGGTCTGCAGTACGGCACTCAACAAATCCATGAAACGATCGGCAGGATCCCGTTCTGTCTCTAACGTGCGCCTGCACGATACCAAGCCGTCAAAGGCTGGCTGAACCTGAGCGTCCGCCTGGTGCCAATACTTATAACTGTATGCGCTCCGGAGATTAACGAAAACTTCGGAGATGCCCTCATTCCATACACGCGGAGCCCAGGTGGCGACCTCCAATGCAAGAAAATGCAGCACCTGACCTTCTGAACCGGAATCCTCTTCCAAGGGGACGATGGAGAGGCAACGGCAACAAAAAAGAAAAATGTAGTTTCCCGAATTGCTCTGAGAATTCTGAGTGTTGACCCGCCGTCTCTCCCCCGCGAGATTGGGTTGGGGAAACGCGGATGCTGACACGCCCCAGGCCATCAAACGATGCGATTGATTTGACTGTGTATTTGTGCCATCGCCGTGCATGCGTGGGGGCCATCTGGCGGCCCTCTCCGAGAGGTGGGCGCCTCTCGTTGACACAGCGTCTCCGCCTTACGCAAAAAAAAAGGTCGCCAACCACCGAAATGTTAGTTTCACGCGCAAAGCAGTAGTGGAGTGCCTCTTCCGTCCGAAAGTAAATCTGAGCAGTCCAATTCCGTACGTCCGCAACGGCGTGGGTGTAGTCCGAGCCTAATATCTGCCTTTCCGCAATTACGAGCCCTTGCTTGCCCCCCAACTCCCGGGTCGCCCCCACACGATGGGCAGGAGTAATTGAACATCAAAATTTGGTACTTGAAACGCCCGGCAATTCGCAAAGTGCCCCGCAACGGTCGAGCCCTCCCAGTGCCTGGCGATCTTTGCTGAAATCAATCGTAAACATGTCATGGTTGCAGCGACGGTTACCGCCGCATCCAACGGCCCGTGTTCAGCAATGAAGGTAAGCTGCACCTGGGCATCGCCATGCTGGCGTACCAAGTCCAACATACGGGCACCGATGTCGCTGCACTCCGTCGCCGTGTAAAAAAACCACTGCCATTACCTCACATCAACATGCAGGAATTCAGTACGGCTGTGAAACAAGAAACAATAAAGAAAAAATAAGAAAAAAGCAACTTCTTCGTACAGCTGTCGGCTCCCTGACTCCCTCAATCGCGGTCTCCCAAAAGACAGTGCGATAAAAGAGGAAGAAATCCCGCAGAGGTATCTCCGCTGCATCGATATACAAATTTATTTGGGCAGCCAGCCATCCTCGCAGGCATTCTTTTTACAAAATCCCATGAAAATAAAAAACATTGTGCGACCCCCACATCCCGCAAAGGCCTCCAGGGGCGACGGAGCCTTCACAGAAGTAAAAAATAAAACAAAATGAAAAAAGAATGTAGTGGTGCGACACTCTTGACCACAATCATTCTCTGAAAAGAAAGAGATTCTCTGACCTAACCCTGCAGACACAAAAATATAAAAGCCGTAAAAACACTCCCTAACATCATTCATCATAAACGCACTGCGCCAACCTCCTCAATTATTTCTTCAATCTTCTCGTCTAAGCTTTTCGCTTCACGAAGTTTCAGCATTTTTTGGATTGCAATATACGCCTGAGAAAACAATCTGTCAGCGCAAACTGGTACTGATGTGTGGTTTTCCAGAACTCCGCGATCCTCTCATGATCAACATCTCCCACACCCGGCGAGCCGACGACATCACATCTCTGCCAGCCATTCATCGGCGTGCTGTCTGCGTGCTGCACATAAATAATCTCCCACGACAATCCCTGAGCAAATTCCTCCCAACCATTAAAAAACTCCGATAGATACTGAGTGAACTGCCGCACGGTGCTGGTTTTGGTGTGATGCTCACCCGCCGTAGTCATCCGCAGCCCTACCAGCGTCCTCCGCGGTGTCTCCATGAAGAAAAAGCCGTCCACCAGCGGAAAGTTCCTGGCCACCGGTACGTACAGTACCTGATAATTTATATTTTGTTTCTCATTAATTTCGTCAACTCCAGGTATTTCACATATTTCGGTGGGGTGCGCTACAGGATTTGCTTTCAGCACAGTGTCCTGAATACCATGTGCTGGTGACCTCAGCTCCTTGAGTTCCTCTGCCATTGCACTGACAAACCCATCAAAGATGAGCGCGCACAAACAAAACTTTTCCGTACATTCGGACAAATGAAATTCCCTCGCCCCCAATACCAGCGAAAAAAAGCCTTTCTCACTCATTGCCTTTGCCAAACGGTTCGCTGATCGAGACCCAATGAAAGAACATATCGGTGCGTTACGAAACCTCTCAGCACCGCGCTCTGCTCTTATTCGGAAAATCCTCACGAGATTTTGAGACGGATCCTCAGAATACCACAGCCCCGCTCCCGGAAGTATAAAGTTTTTATCAGCATACCGAGAATTGATCGCTTCCAAGGCATACTCAACGGCATCAAATCGTGCATTAAAATCTTTCGCATGAAATATATGCTTCGGAATCGGCCCCACTTTTTCCATGTGTTTTTTCACCATCTTCCAGCATTCCGCTTTTCTCTCTGCAGTCTCGTCACGCTTCATCCATGCACACATCGCCTTCACATCCACCTCGTCGGGGCAATTCATGATGATTCGCGTGGCTGTTAATTCCTTCGCCCATTTAGCATAGTTGTCCAGGTTTGGGGATGACACCACAATCATGCCCCATTCACGAAAAGAAGCAAAATAACACGCTGGCGGTGTCCCTTGCCGTGCCACATCGTAGATAATGTACCCCTTCATTCCATTGTGCCACAAATCATACAAAAGTTTCTTGGATATTTCATTACCCTCGCATTTTGTCACCGTCTGGTATGTCTTGTCAAACACGTACGTCGTATCACCAAAACAGTAGACAACCAACTGGAGTTTCTCCAAATCGTGGTGCAGCAGCTGGTAGAGGAGGTACGAACCGGCAGCCATCGACTTCCCGATCCCGGGCGTCCCAATCAACACACGCTTCTGGGGCGTAAAGCCGGCCTCACCGAGAGTGCTGAACCATTCGGTTAAATCGTCAAGGACGATCCGCCACGCTCGCTCCACCTCACAGTTCACATAGCAGTCATGAATGGGTTCCTTCTCCCTCCATTTCCACGAGTACGGCCATCCCTTGTCCGAGGTGAGCACCACCAGCCTGAGACGCCCTGCACCGGATTGCTCCACGCTATCATTCTTTTCCAAAGTTTTGCCAACTTCCTTGAATGTCCATGGCTTTTCTGGTTTCCCCTCCTCCACCTTCATTCCCATTCCGTTGTCGTCAGGAACTTCCACCACATGGCTCCACCTCGCATTGTACACAGACTCGTACAACCCCTTCAGTTTCATCGGTACACTCGTCGTCGTTGGGTACCTCACTTCCTGAAGGGCTGCATCCAAAGTATCTTCCGTGATGCCATGAACACTTGCTTTTACCTCCGCAGCAGCCTCTGACCACCTCAGTAGATTGCGCACACCTTTATCGTAAAGGCTGCGTAAATCCTCGCAAAAACTCATTTCATTCCTTACAGCAATCTCCATCCTCACATAATTATATAATTTCTTTATTTCGCTCAGTACTCCCTCATCGTCGATGTACTTCTCAGGGTCCCTAACAAACTCCCTCAGCAAGACATTCCGATTGGTGTCCACGACGCCCATGCCGCCCAACTGCGCCGTAAGAAAATCATTCAGCTTCATGTTATTGGCGCAAACACTTTCTCTCAACAGCACATCTTCGATCTTGGTGAAAATTGTAAATTTTATTTGATGCTCCCGCCTTGCCCTTTCCTCTGCCTCCCGCCTTGCTTCTTCTCTCAGCACATAAAAGAGAGCTGCGTCGAGTGCTCCCTTTGCAATTGGAATGACCGTATCCTTTCTTTCAAAGTCCCTCCACTGTGCAAGCGAGAACACGCCTTCTCCTTTCAGTTTATATGCAGCCTCCAATAGTATTTTCGTCTCTCGGCATAACGGCGATTCCGCTATTGTGCACAATGACGTTTCGCCGTTGGAGAAAGAAAAAGGGTTCGTAAGAAAACTCTCCATAGAGACGTCCTCATTGGTGTCCACAACGCCCATGCCGCCAAAAAAATTACGAAGGAATTCGTTCAGCCCCATGCTGGTGATGCGTTCCTTTCCCTCCAGCAGTACATCCTCCACCCAACTGTCAAGGGTCCAGTTCGGTTGCTGCCTTTTCTCCACTCCTCTGCGAGTCGCATCGGGTTGATCGGTCTCAGTATGGAAGTCCGACCTCGCTCTCCTCTGACGATCTCCTTGCGGCAAAGTAGGCGCTCGACTCTCCACATTGCCGCCTTGTACACTCTCCGGCCTTCCAGACATCGTTTCTCCTCGTCTTCCTGGTTGGATTGAGTTAAATCTAAACAATGGCCACCAAACAAGAAGGGCGAATGAAAAAAAGAAATACAACAGGCACAGTCATGGCTCGAAGCCACAACAAGGGAGTCATCTACACAGTGTGACGGCACAGTATTCGACGCACACCACATGCACGAGGACCATCACAACGATATGTGGATGCCATCCACCCAGCACAGTGTTGGTGAGAGCCAACAACAACAACGTGGTGCGCACGGAGGATTCCTCCACGCATACCGCTCGCCACGGTCCCACACCCGTGTGGCACCGCCGTCACCGCACAAACTCGGCAAGAGGACGGGGGCACACCGCCACTGACACGCACAAAAAATAAAAAGTAAATTCGGTGCAGCAATGGCCACACGCAAGAACCACAAATCATACACACCGCAACAGCGATGCATCACGGTAATCCCCCACACAACAGAAAAGAGTGCAATTACATGCTTTATAGAAAATATCTGCGGTGTGCATGGCAAAAGAGTGCCGTGACGCTGCCTTTCATATTGCATTCGCCATTCATGTATCACTTGGAAGCACGCAGCCACCACTCCTCCGTTCAGCTCCCCGTGCTGCTCGTGTCGCTCCACTGGAGGAAGTTGTCACCGCACATCCCCCCCACCGTGCACTGCGGAATACAAATCAACCACACGGCATGGGTGCGGTGCCGCCCCGCCAATAAATCCCAGGAACCTCCCCACTGCCTCGTGTGGCACGGACGGCAGTATCATGATGCCTGCGAAAGGCTTTTTTTCCAAACAAGAACGCGGCCGCACCACACGCCCGTAAAACCGTTTGGTCCTTCGCACGCAAAGGAGTTGAGCGGGAGAACAGCAGGAAAGGCAACACCCGCAACCATGAGCAGCACGCACACGCAAACACACCGCTGCCCCGCATATCACCAAAAATAAAAAGACCAAAGAAACATGTCACATCCCAACTACAAATCGCAGGTGCGGTTGCAGCACACACTCCCACCTCCTGGGCGTGTGCGGCCCCTCGCTGCTCGGCGCTCTAAGTGGGATCAACAAAAGCACCAATTCGAGAACATTCGACCACCGCCACAGCAGTCACGCTCCCCATTTCTCACAAAGGCAAAGGCTTGCAGTGGCGCAGCGGACGGCGGCACGCACAGTCGCAGGGTAATGGACTGCCGCGGGAATCACGCAACGACGATGCGCCCCTCCTTTGGGAAACCCAACAAAAACATGTGTCGCGCAGTCCCCGTGAGCAACACACATTGAACCGTATTCAGCTCCACTACTGTGGCCATCCGCACTCACAGCATGAGTGCGACAACGCAGGCCAGGAAGCACGAAATAACACCACGCATCCCTCCCATAAAGATCAGGCGGAGTCCGTGCTGCCTTCAACAATAATTCCACCCCACATCGCCCCTCTGCATATCCGCAGCAAAAAGGCCCACACGGTGTACACTACATTACAATTTCCTAAAGAGCAAACCGGATCATCAGAGCGCTGCCGTCTTCTCAATGTCGAGTAGAAGCTCTCTGATCATTGTCGCCGCCAGCCTGCGGTATTATGGAGGAGCATTACATTCTCGGCAAATCTCTCCATTTCCCTCGCTGTCGCGACGCCGCAAATGAAGTGACGTCCCACAAGTGGTTCCGACCGGTCTGAAGAACGTGACGTATCAGACTCACTGAAACTGCGCGTGTGTGTGTTATTACGGGCGAGCGACACAATGCTCTTGCACATCCATTTATTCCGATCCTGCGCAACACCATATTTGGCGGCGCGGAAAACGTTGGACATCAAACACGCACAAATCGCACAATGAATGCCCCTGGAAAAAATAATAATAACGTCAACACAGACACAGCGACCGAACAGATTAACAAAAGAAATCCAACCTCCGCGCGTCCTCCCGCAAGAAGGTGAAGACACACACGCTTGTCCACTTAGCTTCACTCCAACTCCTCAAAAGTTGACAGGTCCACGGCACGAGGAAACACGCCACTCATCCCTCGCTCCCTGTCACGAGGCATGGCATTGTGCATATCCAGTGCATCCGCATCACCCACATACGTCCCTTTGGGGCATTCGCCTCGGTAGTCATCAAGCACGCGCCGCTAGAAAGTGTACTCCCAGTCTATGCTGCATCTTCTGAGCGACCTTGCTGCCTTGCCGCACAAACAAGTCCACAATTTACGCATTATGACTGCAGACACGTGCCCGTGGGGATCCCCGCCCTTTCCCTCAGCCTTTCAAAGGGCGTGCGCCATACAAATGCCGGTCATGGGGCAGACACACACAGGCGCAGATACCCGTGACAGTGAGTGAGATACTCGCCGCAGAATGAGGTGCCGCAGGTCTCCGCTCACTGATCCAGATTGACCACGCTAAAGCCCACAATTCCCGTGGGTTTGGCATCCCAATAGTTCGTCGTGACTCGTTGACTCCCATGGTGAAGGAGTGCCAAGCAAGCAAGAACCAAGAGCCTGGACACTCTGTGGAGCCAAAAAGATAGAAAACGCGGGCTGGCGCGGGCGCAGCTAAGCGCCATGGGAGAAACATCTCGGCTCATCCCGTGGAAAACACTTCACCAACTTCATTGCAACATTGGCCTCTTGCTTCGTGGGTGTGTCACTTCTCTCTTCACTCCGTGCCAGCCTCCGTTCAATTCCCCACCCAGCAGCACTAAAAGTCACACTGCGCTGCCTCCGCACAATCACGCTTCGCGGCCAATCATTGTGACGCACCTCCGACCGCAGTCGCATCCCACCTCGAAAGCCCTCGCACCCTCTTCCGCCCTCCTGTGCATCGAGAGAAGACGCCTCTCTCGCGGTCTTCGCGTCCTCCCCAATAAAGCTCTGCAGTTGTGCTCAAACATCACCGGGTCTCTTGCCAAGAAGGAAACCGTGTGCGACGCGACCAATGTGACCATACACAAATTTAAAAAACGTTTTATAGGCTCTCTGGAGTGCCCTGCGTGCGCCCGCATGTACGATGGGAACACACACGATGCAATTCGGGCGAGGTCATCGTTCCAGCTCGCATCCCCACCAGGTGAGTCATTGACGGCTCCATCCCGCTTCACGACAGGTCAAACAACAGTGCACAAGTAAGTGCGCCGTGCTCTGCATTCACATGTGGTTCCCCTTTTGGGTCCAACGTCGTCAGGTGGTGTAAAGAGACGAGTCGCATTATCATTCTTCCATTTGCTGCTGCTGCCGCCTCATGTCCCGTAAGGAGCCGCTGATCCCTCTCTCTTTGGCGATAAAGGGCCCTCACGCATGGGATGCATCCCGCCTCGTGTGGCATGAGGAACAGCAGAGAGTCCCCAACGTTGCCAATGCGGGATTGACCGTCCAGTGCGGTGAGTACAACACGCTGGATCTATCTGAGGGTCGTCGTGCACAGTTCAGTCCGTCCGCGGCGGATACAATCCTCGGGCAGCCACACCTGTGCAAAACAGAACACCCTTCTGGAGAACGCCGAGCAGCTCCACCGACGTGTTGGAAAACCCACAAAAAGAGGGCCGGTCAACCTGCGGCACATTACCGTGCAACTTTAATATCCTGACATCGAGAAGAGCGTTTCTACCTGAGAGTGTTTGGCCGCATCGTCATCGTCATCACTGCTCAAATCATCTCAACAGGCAACAATGGCATCGCTCTCGTATTGCACATGCCCGTTGGCCTCCTCCACCCGCCGCCTCACGTCCGTATGAATAAAGTCTCGTCATGCACAGCGATGCGCCCCCTCGTTTCAGATAAATACCAATATTTTATAGTCACCAAGGTAGCAGTCCAGTTCTCCCTCCACAGGCACACCTCATAGAGGACGTCCTTCCGTTCTCTTTGCCGAATCAACGCACCGCACCCAGTGGATAAGCCCTGGTAGTTCCACCAAAAAACAAGTGTTCAATCCCCACAGCAGCGAATACTCTGTATGATATGAAACGCACAGTTTGTTGTGCTAGTGCACCGCACCGTCGGCCGCCTCGCAATGGTGCAAAGGTGTCATTCCACTGCCTGAGTGAGGCCTAAGCCCCACATTACACGCACACAGAGAAGCACACGGCGCATTTGAAAATATATTAATATTTTTTCACGGCACATCTATGGGAAGGAGCACCACCCCCGTATGCATGTTGGCAAAGCAACGGCCACACAACGGCGGTGCTAAAAACACGCATCCAGAAACAGAGGAAAGAGAAGAGGGGTGTGGAACACCCACAAGAAATGATGGATAGCCCATTTCAAACTGGCAGCAAAGAAAAGAAAAAAACAGCAGCAGTAGTACTGGTGGTGGTGACCATCATCTCCCCTTTTTTTTCTTCCCTTCACTCGCTAGTAGCCCAAACACGTGGGGTTCAAAAGTCCTCTTCACACAAAATTGTGCGGCAGTTAGCCTCTCTCCAACCAGCCGCCTCAATACATCCAAAAGAGCACACAAGAAAACCACAAATAGCCATGGGGAAAAGAGAGAAAAACAATAAAAGATCCCACGGCATTAGTACGGAGGCGGAGCGACACGCTTTTCGCACAAGTAGCCGTAAAGTCGGCCAGAGAAAAAGAGATCCAGGCCCGAGCAAACTCGGACCTCATAGGCGGTCATTGTGCTCCTTTGAGACTTTTCAGCCAGCTCCTGTTCCACCCGAAGGAAGAGGGCCGGCGGAATGTGATCCTCGCCGCAAAGAGCTGCTGCATCGGGGGCCAAAGAAACAAATCCTCGCATATTGCGGATGTCAAGTGGGACACACCACCGCATTTCCACGTCATTATCGCTTGGCTGCGCACGTGCGTCTCTTCACGTACCCCGTCGTTCCTCAAGAAGCCTTTCCGCAGGAGTCCTCAAATGCAGTGGACGCTTGAGAGCAACAAGCCAAGCCTCGCAATCGCTGCCAGCCTCACAAACCATCTCCAATGATTTCCCACCGCGAAGTAAAAGTGCGAATGCGCGGTGGTTGTTTGTTCCAAGGCTGGACGAAGTGATGT